ATATATATATATATATATATATATATATATATATATATATATATATATATATATATATATATATACAAAACAATAGGATTACAGACTACCTGATATATCTAGTACATACAACCATCGTTTTGAGGGGATGAGACACCATATAACAATAACGGTAGATCTATCACCAAAGGAGCGCATGATTCGATTAATTTTATGGTGAAACAAGACATTAGGAAATATAGATTGCATAAATATTTAAAAGCTTCTGACGAACAGCAAAACATACGACGTAAAAAGAGACCACAGACAAATCTACCTGTTCTGTTTTGACATCGAAAGGATCTCCCACAACACGATTTTTGGCCAATTCCGCGCTGAATTCAACAAATTTGTCATAAATTCCTTCCTCAACATAGATACGGGAACTTGCGCAGCAGCACTGGCCTTGATTGAAGAATAAACCCACGTTGGCCGTTTTGACAGCTAAATCCACTAGAATAGAGAGTGTGACGGTTGACATTCTAATGAAACACCTCAGTGGAACACCAAGAAGGTAGATGATCTACGAATCCTTATAAAATGCGGCAGTAGATGAAAACACTAGAATTTATGACTTGATCAGCAAGCTTGATAATAGCGATAAAACGTCTAGTGAATAAAAGAATCAAAAGGAATTCTGACTGACTTAATCCAAGCACAAACCCTCAATATCTGCCCTAAGTCATACAACTGAGCATAAAAGAATCCGGGGAAAATGTTCTGATAAAAATAACAATGAACTACCTGGATGATTAATGAACTCAATCATGTGGTGCCGTAAGCTGCGAATTAAGAAAGGTTTTTGATTTAACCATCAAAACATGGAACAGATGAACGAATTAGCAAGGATATATCTATCTATGGTGGTAATATCCCGTTTAAAGCCTTTAGTTCACGTAAGAAACAGACCTTAGATGAGAGAGCGGGACAATAATGGTCCCGATTTGTCGAATACTTTTTGAGGCAACTGAATACGAAGGTATAGTTCTTTCAACCGAGGCCACAATAACAGCCAATATGATCTACAAATTCAACAGTTGTTTATTTAAAAAAAGAGATGAATTGGTGCAGCATAAGTCAATATATCCCACGCTGCCTGAAAACGATCCAGATTACGTAGCGTAACCGTCCCCTTTGTTCTTACGATAACCTGACATCTGATTCTACCAACTTGCAGCCTTGATTCAGTTCGCCTTGTATCTTTGTGCGGAGGTTTTCTTTGCTGTCTTTAGACTGCCCGATGGCATAAAAGATCAAAAGGAAGATTGGAATGTTGAGAGCGGAATCAAAGAGAAGACAGAATTCATGCAGGTTAGGGTTGCAGGGATAATGAATAGATGCATGAGTGTCACTGTTCGCGCCACAGATGTCTCAAGTTGGCAAATGCTAATCGAGTCTTTCGTATGCATCATGAGTATCGTGCAGCGAAATACAGTGAAGCAAACTTCGCTGATCGTTACCCTACTCGCAAAGCATACAAAGTGGTAATTTGTAAGTCGGACAAGGACTGGACCTATTTTTGGGGGGAGGGGGGCAGGAGAAAGTGAATCTTTCTGGTCAACACACAGAGAACACTAACTTGCTGTGCATACATACCTTTTCAAACATTCTGAACCGATAAGAAATGAAAACAAGAAAGCCGCTGCTGCCAGTTTGCTTTCACATCCTTCAGTGTCTCCAAACAACCAGTCGCAGAGTCTTTCGGACCCCGACCTGGTAGACGGGAGACAACTACTCCACCTAATAGCTCTTTGGGACTCTTCTCAACATCATCTTTTGACCACCAAGGGGTTTCCTCCATTCCAGGGCGGCTACAGCGAACAGAGCGCGATGCGGTAGGCGACAGATGGGCATTACCAATATGTGCCCCAATCAGAGAAGCCTACTAATCGAAATTCGATGAACTAGCAAGTTTATCCCCGATAAATTCCCAAACACATATCGGCTAACTTTCAGTTTACTAATTCATTCGCTCGTTTCAGAATATAGTGAAGAGTGAAAATGTGGTCGGTACAGCCTCGAACGGGTACAATACCAGCCTGATTCTCATGCGTACATCGTTCATGTGTGGCAGACAATCGACGGAGTGTATTACCAGCGGGATGTTTACAGACGATGTTGGTTAAACTAAATCCGCTATGGTTTTCACAGTAGGATCTGTCACCGCTCTTGCAAATCGGTAAAATGACCGATTCACACCATTCAGTTCGAACCGATTGCAAATCAACGTATGGACATGAGAGCGACCAGGTTTTATTTGCGTAGCAGGAAATGCACTAAGCAGACCTTTCAAAGAATTGTGATGATTCTGGGGTAAGCCGACATTAATACCAACTGTGGTGGGTAGTATTATTGACAGATTTTTTTCCTGGGAGCACGTGATCGACTACAATGCTTTTAAAGTATGGCATGTAGTTATATCTGGTATTCCCCTGGCTAGTAGCACATTCGTGAATCAAAGAGTTTGTGTGTGGGATATTTCAATATCTGCGGGAACAATAAGGAGTCTTCCACTTGGGATGCACGCTTTTATGGCCACCCGTCNCACCCGTCATTCAAATAATTTTCTTCAGTCATCGTGTACTGAGATTAATTCACTAATTAACTTTCTGATCAGGGCAAGGCACAAACCTCTCTGAAGGACGACGAGGAGCAAATCTTTCGCAACAGTCGTGCCCTTGTCATAGAGAGCTTGTCACTGTTAGCGATAGGATGATAGTAAACAAATGTGAGTGAAGACGAACTGAGTATTTCAGATTGCGTCTCGTTGTACTTTTGAAGTTGTGGGTACAGTTCGAGGGGGACAGGTCGACTTGGGAATGAATTGCCTGGTGGAGTGAGGTTTCCTCTCTTTTATTCACAATGTACTGAAGTCCTCGTTAAAAGAAAATACTTCGGGGATAGACTCGTTACTTCTTGAACGGGAGCTTTCCCTTGGGTAATGTAGTGTCTTAGAAACAAATCAAAGTAGCATGCTAAATTGGAAGTTCACAACGGAAATCGCGTATTACGCAACCGCAACGATAGCAATATAAGGAATAAGCATCAACTAAATATACGTATCAGATGAACCAATGCACCAGGGCCACCGTTAACGATAATCATTCAAAGCAGACTGTAACTCTTTCATTCCATTCTTCCAAAATGGCAAGATAGGCGACTTGAACGACCATTACCATTGCGTATAAGTCAGGTTAGTAGTCTACCTTTCAATAAAACCGGACTTTGTTTCACTGCCAACCAGTACACTCACATGCCAGTTTCGATAAGCCATTTTCAGACCCATTCTGAACACAGTTTGCAAATGTCCTACTTTATCCATATGACTTCAACACATACTACAAGCAGGAGCGATGGTAAAAAGCTACTAGAATCACTTATCGGGTTAGTAATATAATGCTGCTCAGGAAGACAAAGTGTGTTGATTGGAGGAAAGACTTATCCATTATCGATGCAATCAGCTAGCTGAACGAATACACGCATTTTATTTGGTTGCTTCTTCCCCATGCATCGTCGATCCGCATAGCACTAGAATCCAAAATGACGATGTAACAAGAATAACAAGGTAATAAAAAAGAGGAAAGTTGTAATGTTCGATCTTTTATCGGAAATATGGCAGGTCTCACCAGCTTAGTCAAACTGCGGGAATATGCCCGACTAGATGTGATCGTGATCCAAGAAAGTTGGCTCAACAACGAAATTGGGGATGAAATGGTACACTTGGATAGTTTCGCTAGCTATCGTGTCAGTCGTTCTGTTCCTTATTCCAGTCGGGATGGTGGTGTCATCACATTTGCCTAAAATCAGTGGTATCATCTGACCAAAAATGTGTTTTCTTATTCCACGCATTATATAAACGCATCAGTAATTGAATGTAAGCCCAAATATTTCAGCATTCTCGGTCACTTATTCGTGTAAACGTACGTATGGCCCCTTTTGCTCATTTAATGTTTCTAATGGTTTTATGGCTATTTTTCAACTACATTGAATGAATATGTAGATACTTCAGTCTCCAACATTTGCGGTGACTTCAATAACTTCGATACTCGTTTCGTACTTCAGTTTCAGTTTTCAGTTTGTACAACCATTAACCACGCATATTCGTGCGCCGGTTTTGGTTGCTGTTTTTTGGCTGCCCATTTGGATGAAGAACAGGAGAAAAAAGGAAAGTTGAAAGCGGAGTTGAACAGAAAATGGAAACGTTCAGTGGTCTAAGGT